ACATTGAATATCGGGGGTGGGGTTCCCCTGATAATCAGTAAAATTAAATTATTCCTTCACTAATACTGGAAAATAAATGTCTTTATGATGTTTATCTTAGACTTAGAAAAACAACATCATAATATTGCTATCATTTTCTTTTTTTCTCATTGTATATAAATTTTTCTCATTATATATAAATATATCTGCACAAAATATTGTGCATATTCTTTGATAAAACAGCCAAATTTATAAAACATAAGGATGAAGAAAACATATGTAGTATAAAAAGAATAATTTATAAAATAATGTCAATTTTCAGTATCAGCTATTTTAAAAATATACAAACATGTTCAAAATTAAAATCAATCTTTCTTTTAATATATCTACTACCAAACTACCTGACTTTACGAAGATAGCTGATGTCATTTATAAACTCATAACTATTTGCATACGAATTTTCTTTTAATTACATCAGGTGCAGATCTATATAGATCAGGCATTTAAAAAATTCATTATGTAAACTTAAATGCTGACTGGCTGAGCAAAAATGATGCAATTATGCAGTAACACTTGTTGATTTGCAGATTCCAGTGAAACTAATAAAAATATATTTCTGATAGAATAAACAGGTAAATGTCATGAAAATCACAAGATTAATATCAGTAAGATTCTTCTGAAACAAAAGAAGAATCAAATATTTCACTGTAAAATGTAAACAAAAGGAACAGTAAATTAATGATACTATGGATGGGAGAGTATTCTTTCTATAACATTTCAGGGTAGCTTTTTTGCCCCAGTTAGAAGCTCGTAATAAAGTACCAAGTGAATATATAAAAATCTGTGGTTTGCATAACACGTGTTCTCTTTTGTCCTGTAAAACTGAAAAATAACATTTGACAAAGCAAAATCAGATGTTGGAAAAAAAATGCATTTTAATACCACATATCACCACTGAATACATGAGGAAAATATGCTAAAGTCAGTTATTCTGTGGATATTTAGCAATGGCAGTGTTCTACCACTGATTAATGTTACCATTGGTGCTAATGATTTATATGAATTTTGATGCAGTTTCAATATTTCTTAGCTTACCAGGTAATAATTACATGACAAGAAACACAATCTAAAACCACACAGTCAAAATAATAGCAAGGCTTTATAAAAAGGTTGTGGGTATTGGTAGCCTCAGTAACATCACACATTGACATTGGGGATAGGCATGTAAAAATATCACTTTGTTAAGCAAATTAGAAAGCCACCCCCTGGCGGCCGTGCTCCGCCGTCCAGCTTGGTGGGAGGGGGGATCAAGGTCGGAGACGGACAGGTGAACCCGTCTCTAAAAATACAAAAAAAGCCGGGGGGTGGCGGGCGCCTGAGTAGCATCAGGGGCGGCAGGAGAAGGGTAAAGGAGGCGGAGCTGAGTGAGCGAGATCGGCCTGCCTCCAGCCTGGCGACAAGCGAGACTCCGTCTCAAAAAACAAAAAAAAAAAAAAAAAAAAAAAAAAAAAAAAAAAAAAAAAAAAAAAAAAGAAAGCCACCCCCCAAACCTCGCCTGCCCCTTTTGATTGTAGCAGAGCTGTCCCTTCAACCCATAGGGCCTCATTTATCAAATTCATGGCATTGCTTACGTTGTAATCTTCAGGCTACTAGTCATTGGGTTTTCCCTCATTGAAAACATATTTTTATTTTGTTTTCTTGCTTTTATCTGCCCCAGACTGGCCACCTTATACATGTGTGTATGTGTATCCATATTTCTTTACATATATACATATGTGTGTGTGTGTGTGTTTGTGTACACACATACCTCTTTGTCCATAATTTACTTATAAATTACCTACTATGTGTCAGGCTCTATGCATGGTCTTGGAGATGGAAATACGACCAAGGTGTAATTTGTCTCTTCAAATATCAAGCATAATTATAAAAGTGCCCACCTGTTTGGTTTGCTTAACACATGTGCCTTCAATATCACTTGCTGATGAACCTGCCAGCTCTTTTCACATGTGTGCCTCCTGTTTCAAATGATTCAACATAGTCTGGTTCTAAACTTCCAATCAGCAAAGTTCTGCGGCTTTATGATTAGGGAAATCATAGGCACAGTATTTTAATTACTAACACATCATTAGGCTGACTGCAGGCAGTCATTCCATATACACCAATTAGTTGACTGCTTGATTGAACCAGTAGTCAGCATATATTTGGAAACATAACAATAACAAAATAATGGCAGCTACCATTAACTGATATCTTATTAGATACCAGATGCCATGCCAAGCACTTTACATACATTCTCACACTTAATCCCAATAAAGGTATTATTATGCCCATTTAAATGATGATAAAACTGAGGCTTTGAGTTTTAAATAACTTGCCTAAAGCCACACAGATAGAAAAGAATTCAAAGTTTTGCCCATAATCATTATAGCTATACTACCTCTCAAAGAGAATGTCCCTATCTGAAGTTGGCTCAATACAACATAATTTTGATTCATAGCTAACTATAAATGGATCAACACAAACAGCTAAATTGACCTAAAGTACATAGCAGTCATGTATATGAAAAATAAATATTAAAGATTAGAAAGCATATAAACTACATATATAAGAGTGTGTGTGTGTGTGTGTGTGTGTGTATTTAAGATTATATGCCATTTTAGGCTATAGAGACCATGTTTTCTCTGCATTAGCACCCATTGTCAGGACTTGACTATATAGTTTTAACAACTGAAAGAGATTTTATTTTTAAAAATCCACTATGTGTTAGCCAACAATAAACCTGTATCTTATCTCTGTCCTATCCTCAACATCCAGCACAATGCCTGCCACATAGCAGATGCTCAATACATAGCAATATTCAAATAAAATCATTAACTCTTCAAGCTCTGTTCTAAAGTGAATGCTCTACTTATATGAACGTGTGATAACACATGCACCTGAAATATAATAAATAGAATCTGTGAAGCAGCATTTATTCATTTATTTATTTATTTTTTTAATTTTTTGAGATGGAGTCTTGCTCTCTCGCCCAGGCTGGAATGCAGTGGCACAATCTCAGCTCAATGCAACCTCTGCCCCCCGGGTTCAAGTGATTTTCCTGCCTCAGCCACCTGAATAGCTGGGATTACAGGTGTTCGCCACCACACCCAGCTAATTTTTGTATTTTTAGCAGAGACAGGGCTTCACCACATTGGCCAGGCTGGTCTCGAACTCCTAACCTCAAGTGATCCACCCACCTCAGCCTCCCAAAGTGCTAGGATTAAAGGCATGGGCTACCATGCCCAGCTGACATTTTCAACATATCAAAATTTTCACCACTATTTCTTAAATGAAGCTATGGAAATATAAAATACATTAATGCAATCTTCTGGCTAACTTCATAATTTCATACAATAGAATATTATTATGAAAAAGGTGCAAAATTTAGCATTATCACCAGAGCAACTACAACCTGGCAATAGATACATTAAATACATGTGAACATTAGACACAATCAAAACAAAGCATGACATAGAACTAAATGACAGCTGTTTTCAAGACTGTAGGCCTAAATTTAGCAACATAAGCACATTTAATCATAAACTCCTAACTTACATTTTATTTCCTTGACTTTACCAATTACTAGAGAATTTATATATATTTAATTTTATATTTATATATAATTTTTAATACTATCTCTATATATTAATATATATTAATTATACATAATATATATTAATAGTAGCAACATTTTATACACAACAAAAAGCAGAAATGTAAGCAAAGCACTAAGAAAGTTTCTTCCTAGAAGTTTATGAGTAGTTTTATGACAGCCCACCCAGTGCTAATTCCTTTCATCATAGATTTTAGTAACCCTGATCAAGCACATACGTGCATTCATTTGGCCCATGTATATACTGTCTTATCCCATTAACCATATTTTGATGGTAACTTTTTACATTTGACTTCTATTACCTTCAATTTCAAATCCTTTTAGGAAGTGGGTGAAAGAGAAAAATTTAAATATTCTATTATCTATTCTTAGTTGACTTTTTGCCACAAGAGAACCTCAAAAGCAGTGACTTCTAAAAATATTTACTATTCTATCCAACACATGATATATGAAGCCACTCAATAATTTTACACATCTACTCAAAGGAAAGCAGTGAGCCTGGTGGAGATGTACCAAAGTTACAACCTTCTTACTATAAGAATTAATAGTTACAGTGTCTAGCACATAAGTGAACATTTAACCATCAGGTAATTTGAACCTTAGTTTTGTCACAGATCAAAAGCGATCAATAAAACCTAATTGCTACAGACTGAATGTGTGTACCCCAAAATTCATAGTTGACCTAATCTCCAATGTGATGATAATTGAGGGTGGGAGGTGATTTGGGAGGTGATTAGTTTATAAGGGTAGAACCCTTATGAATACGATTAATGCCCTTATAAAAGAGACCTCAGAGAGCTCTCTCTCCACTTCCGTTGTGAAGACACGGCAAGAAGAAGCATCTGTGAACCAGAAAGGAGGCCCTCACCAGACACTGATTCTGCCAGCACCTTGATCTTGGACTTCTCAGCCTCCAGAACCATGAGAAATAAATATTTGTTGTTTTTATTCTATCCAGTCTATAGCATTCTGTTATAGCGCCTCAAACAGACTAAGACACTAAGCCAAAGAGTTGTAGCAATTAAATGACCGGTAGACACAGGTAAACCAGTTGGCATAAATATCTGACTTATAGTAGATCCTCAGTAAACCATCCTTCCTTGTTTTTGTACTTCATTTCTAAATTTCTATTTTAAGACACAGAAAAAATTTAAAATCAAATTTTTACACTTCAAATGTATTAGAAGCTGAATGGGTGGCTGAAAGAATAAAAATCACAGCATTCTAATAAATTGCCTTTTTGGGGGGAGCACCAACACAACTTTCCTGTGAAAGACTACAATTATCATTTATTAATATATAAAATATGTTCTAGAGGAAATTAAAATTGAAATTAGAATTTGAAATTAGAATTCACTCATATTTTTACCCTTTCTTCTAGTTGATCCTTCAAACATTGATATTTTAGCTTCAGTTTTTTGTTCTCATTTTCATTCTGGGTTAATTCCTCTGTCAGTCTGTCACACTGTGATTTCAATTTATCCAGCTGACCACGATGAACTTTAGCCATATTCTTCTCTTCTAAACTTTCAGCCTGAGAAAAAGAGAAGGAAAAAAGAGAAAGTCCACTAGCCATAGCCAAAATACACCAAACACATTACACATTTTATCAGTGGAAAAACACTGCAAGATTTTAGCTCGTTCAAAGCATTCATATATAAAAATTAAAATAAACATAAGGGAAATGTTCTTTGCATTTATTCAATCGCTGATCAGTATTCACCAGCATTTATGAAGTGGTAGATACTGGACTAGATGCTAAAGATAACAGATATGAATAGTAAGAGAGTCAGATGCAATGATCTATTTGACAAGACTGAATGAGAAGTACTTATCAAAGGTGTAAGCTGGACATTTTGGAAATTCAAAGAAGAAATACCAGCTCTGCTGAGGGGAAGGAGTTATTAGAGAAGTATCCCAAAAAGGAAATACTATGAGATGTTACTAACTGATAAGTTCCCTTGTCTATAGACGGGGCTTAACATTCCTGTTTGACTTCACTCCTGGTTTCTATGAAATAATTGTGTACTTTTTATGTAAGTCATTATCAATACTACTCTTATGGGGCTAAAAAACATTATGAAGTATAACAACCAAGAAACTACAAACTTAATATGAAAAAGTTTACCAGTTATTTTTTCAACATCAGTAGTGTAGTAAAATATCTATTTATTGATCTTTATATAGGGTATAACCAGAATCAGCTTTTAAAAAATAAACTTTGGGAATAATCTATTCTATACAGGAAATTCAGTAAAGATTTGTCAGGTATGTGAACTTAAAGAATTTTGAAATAACAATAATGTAAACACTATGTGGCGGACACTGCTCTAAGACTTTTTGTATACAGGTTTTCCTCATTTCATCCTCGCAACAACCTGTGAGAATGAAATAAGGTATTATTATTGTACTGATTGCAATAATAATAAGAAAAAAAGCAAGCTAATCACTTTCCCAAAGATACACAGTGAGTAAATGCAGAGTCAGGATTTGAACCCAGGAATTCTTTCTAATGTCCATGCTTTCAACTACACCACACTGCCTCCCAAAAGGTACAACACCACTAGGTTTTAAAAACCAACTGGGTGAAACTAGGAAAACATGAAACACACCTACCAGTTGCTAACAGTCTGTAAGCAATCACATTTAATCTGTTTGAAATATATGTTTTAATGCCTAAAATATGTTTCTTTTATTTTTATAAGTTTATTATATGAGTTTAATTAGGTATATAGGAACACAATCAATGGAAACAATCTCCTGAAAGAAGTTTTGTGAGTTTTAGACAAAATCTATATTTTATTTACCTCACAAAATTTACCTAAGAGTTGATGCCACATTAAATTAACAAAGAAATTGATTTTTTATGAGCAATCCTATATTCACAGCCCAAAATAAATTTACAAAATAAAACCTCTCATCAGGAAAATTGTTCAATTACGATTTTAAGTTTCAGTAGAATGCTTTTACTTTTTTTTATGTCCTAACAAAAGCATAGGTAAATACAAAGAATTCCCCCTAAGGTCTGTAGTGTGCTGCAGCCAGCTCATAGACACTGTCAAAAGCCAACTGGCTCTTCTCTTCCCAACTTCACCCCTCTCCAATGATATCTCATTTGATAGCTTGAAATCAGCCAAGAAAGTGGTATTCAGAACTACCAATCTTGGCGAATGCTATAAATCAAGGGTTTTCCACCCACCGGAAGCTTGTTTTCAAATATTTATCAGCACACCAATGCTGAAGCCTGACTAACAACTTACTTATTGTTGTGGTTTTTATTACATTTATATTTCATTTCAGAATTTACAAACTGATGTTTGTGCACAACAACCCAGTGATATAGAAGGACATTACTATTCTTATTTTAACAGTGAGGCATAAAAAAGTGAAATAACTTGACCAAGATCAAATGGTCAGCAAATGGCAAAAACACAGAACTCCAATCCTGCATCTTTTGATTCCAAAAAAAGGCTCTACAAAATGATTTTGTTGAAATTGCAATGAGGTAATAGACCAATATCCTGAGAATATTAATAGCAGAGCATGTCATTAAAACATTTTAAATTTAAATTTAAAAATAGGTATGAGAGGGGTGATTCTAGATGGAGGAAAAAATAGAACTAAAGTGTACAGAGAAAAAAATATGGATGACTTATCAGAGCTTATTAGACTCAAAAATGTAGTAAGTTAAAATGAAGCTGAAAAACACAGAAATATAACATTTGTAGAGCTACTTGTCTAAAACTCCATTGTGTGCATAATTCAGTATATTACATCTCCTGTGATGGCCTTTGCTATCAACTCATTTTAATTAATATAAATAAGTAAAAAGTATGGATATATTAATAAAATAGCATGAGGTGGCGATTGTTCCTTAAGGGTAAATTGTTTGGTTTCAAAGGAAACTGCTGGGCTCACACAATCTCTGGCCATTCTTCCAATTCTAGAGCAACTTCAATACCACACATTAGGGAATAGCTTTAACACCCCTCCCAGATCTCAATCTTTCAAATTAAAAAAAAAAAAAAAAAAGCCCAAAGGACTTAGAAGATCCACAGAATGCTTATAAATTCTAAATTCTTTACACTTAGGGAATTTAGTAAAGCTTTGTTATCATCTCACAACAAATGAACTCAAAGCACTTCCTCAAAAAAAATGAGGAAATCAATTTTCCCACATTACATGGAGAAATCCAAACGAAACAGATCATAGAGCAAGTCAGGAGCAAATGCTCTGATTTCTACCTTTTTCAACATTTCAACTTATATCCACCGAGTATCTTCTGTATGTCTGGAACATTATGCTAGACACCATAAGAGGATACAAAATGGCTTAGATCTAATGCCTGTCCTTCTAGAAACTTACGCACACTCAACAAACCAAAATACAAGGCAGCCTAAATGTGCTGTACCTGAGGCACCAATAAAGACCTATGGACACACAGTGGGCCAAGAGATTAGCCCCACCTCAGTTGAGATTTATTCCAACTTTAGTGGATCCATAAAAGAAGTAAAAAATTGGGCCTTAAAGGATTTGGCAGAATTCTTCTTCCTGCAGACTAGGAGGCCAATTCAGATAGAGAATGAGCAGTCAGAAGTATGCACAGTGATCTGTATTTGTACGGGGAATGTTGGAGAGCATAAAAAGGTAATGAATGAGCCGGACACAGTGGCTCGTGCCTGCAATCCCAGCACTTTGGGAGGCCGAGGCTGGTGGATTATGAGGTCAAGAGATGGAAACCATCCTGGCCAACACTGTGAAACCCCATCTCTACTAAAAATACAAAAAGTAGTTGGGCATGGTGGTGCACACCTGTAGTCCCAGCTACTTGGGAGGCTGAGGCAGGAAAATCGCTTGAACTTGTGAGGCAGAGGCTGCAGTGAGCTGAGACCACACCACTGCACTCCCGGCTGGTGAAGAGCAAGACTCCATCTCAAAAAAAAAAAAAAAAAAAAAAAGGAATGAATGTACATGAGTAAGGTAGAATCATTTTAAGGGGGGTGCTGGGCTGGGCTGGAGGGGAGACTTTATTACAGAGACAGTAAATAACTAACAAAGGTTTTTCAGTAGAAAGTGACACACTCAGATATATATTTTGGGAAAGGAAATTAGAGAGTATCTGGGGGAATAAAGGGAGGGGTTGTGGGTAGAGAAAGGAACTAGAGGGAAATAGGGAAATTACTTAGAAGTATGGCTAGGTTGCAAGTTAGCAGTCTGCATTCTGTTTTCTAGTACAACATGATATATTGTCCATATGCCAATGTATCCATGAGCAAAAGCAATTACTATTTCTCATTGAAGAATGCATATCTGAATGTGAGAATTATGGCCTTATAGAGATGACCTTGAACATGCTCTAACTGAAAAAATTATTACTAACTCCTGCCATTGTGTTATTATACAACCTAAATAATGGTGATAAGACATAAGTACTAATGAGAAGGAAGGTTCTAGTTTCAACAACAGTCTCAAGAAAACTGCAAGCTTCTTAAAACAAACCATTGCTCTATGCCATGCCAGTTTCTCCCAACAAATCATTACATGCTTGTCCTCATGCAAAAACCCTGCCTTCCTTTCACATCACACTATTTCTCATCAACCCCCTCTACCTTGCTGTCAACAGCTGACTGATCAGTCACCCTCTTCACTGTGGTTTTTGGCATGTGACCAATTAATGCCTTCACAATATCTTAAATATCCAAGTGTCCATCCCATAAGATAGCTTCAAAGTTATTTGACCTGTTCTTTCCCAACTACCTACACCAACATTACACAATAGCAACCACTGCATGACCACACCTTAGACCTTAACTCTGAAAACTTTTAGATTGCACTGCAATATAAGAATTCCTGACCAAATCAACAACCTCTGACTGCAGATTTTTATCCTTCAGCTTTCTCATTCCTTTGCCCACAATCTTTGTTCTTCAATGTTAGCCACATGGAAGTACTTTACATGCTCCTAGACTAGTCTCGTTCAGTTTGTACCAGTCTTCATACCAGTTTTCATCTTCACTGCTCCTAATTTCTTGCTGTACTGCTGTCCTATTCTACTTCAGAGAGAAGAAAGGCTATCAGTCAAGATTCACATCAATTTCCCCAGATCATCCCTACCAACTTACCCAGTCTTACTGGTTTCCTCCAAATCCTTCAGAGGAAGGAGACCTTGTCTCCTGTTGAATGCTATATACTCTTATTTTTTTATCAAATCCCCTCACATCTCCTCATGTACTTTCTCCATCAACCTCTGTGGAATGGAATGAAGGCTTTTTATACTTCTTCTTTCAGCTTGCCTGTCACATTTATCATTCTTGATTATAACTTTCTTAAAATGTCTTAGCTGGATTTCTAAGATATCATTCTCTTTTGGTTCTCCTCCTATCTGTCTGTCATATGGTCTTTTATTTTCATTTGCTAGGCCTTTTTAGTAAATTCTTTCCTTCAAACATTAGTGTTTGAGAGTCTCCTCCTCTTTTTATTATCTGCACAATCTCATCCAAATCCCATGACATCGACTACCACCCAAGAGTTAACTGGCTCCCAAATATTTCACTCCAATCTCAATTTCTCCCTCAACTCTTGACCCTACTAATTATTATGTACTAATTATGTGCTAATCTGTTCCACCTAGACTTTCTTGGTTAAGCTTAAAATTCCTCCCCCTAAGACAATATGCTAAAAAATAACAACAACAAAAACAAACTAGATTTGCCACTGTTCTCTTCAAATCTTCTATTCTGTCTGTATTCTCTATATTGGCAATAGCATCATTATCCACCTAATCACCCAAAGTCACTACCTACCCATCCTTGAGTCTAAACTTTTTTCCAGCCTAGCAAAGCAGTTAAGAACACAGTCAGTTAATTACCTGAGTTCAAATCCTTTCCCTACCACTCTCCTGCTCTAAGGCCGTGGGCAAATTACTTAACCTTCTGTATCCCAATTTCCTCATCGGGGAGAAAATAATACCACGCAATCTGCAGGGGGAGGTGGGTATTAAATGATTAACACTTGTAAAGTTCTTAGAGCAGTGACTGGCATAAAGTGTTGAAAAACTGTTTGCTGGTAGTATTGTTATTGTCATAGCCAGTCAATCACCATGTAATATATATTTTATTTTCTATAAGATCAGCTCTTCTTCTCCATATCCCTAATTCTACTTTTGTTTATATATTCATCAACTCTGAAAGATTATTATTCCATAGTTCATCAAAATTAAAATGTGTATCTTCCACATTTTACCATCTCTGACCTGGGAGTTCTTACACTTGATGACATATCATGGTTTCATAGGCAGGAGGCAGCATTTTTATTTCTTAGGATGACATGCATCTAGTAATAACAGCAATGATGCACCTGACAAGGTGTCTTAGGTTTAATGAAATATAGTAAGGGCCTCTTGCCTATTTTAGCCTCCATTCAGACCCACCAACCCCAATTGAAGACCCCAAATCTTCATGCCAGAAGGCTATCTAGGACTGGGGAAGAACTCATAGACTAGCTACATCATTTTACAGATGTCAGTTGTTTCAATATCATTTCATCTTGCATCATAAGCATTTTCAAAATAGTAGTTGCATTTCAAAGACTTTTGAAAAACATTATAATTATTAACCTTTGAAGATTTATCCATTCATTCATTCACCTATTCAATAGATATTTACAATGTTCCAAAAAACTGTTGTAGGCACTGGGAATATAGCTAGAAGCAAAACAGACTAAAATCCCTATCCTCAGAGAGTCTTCATTTCAATAAAGGGAGATTAAAAAATAAATAATATGGAATCTATATCATATGATAAGTGTTATGGAAAAAAAAAAAAAAAAAGACGGGAAGAGGAACAGATTTATCACACTCCTGACAATCATGTTATAAAACGATTGCCCTGCATGGTGATAATGCTAATAACATTAGACCTTAGAAACATTTCTTCAAATGCAAGATCCCAATTAGGCATTTACCCAGGCAACTTTGATTTGGAAAAGAAGGAGTAAATCTCAAAAGCCTTGGGTTTACACAGCCCATAAGCTAATCCACTTTAGTTACCATACTAATAAGGACTGTGGTTATAGCTCCTCTGGCCTTGACGAGTCTTTGCCTTTTATATTTTAGGAGGTCATAAATGTTGAATGAGGGCACGTTTCAGGTCCACGACTTACTGCCACCTCTGCCTTTCCTGAACTCCCCAAACAGCTAAACGTTCTTTATAAAGGGCTTCAATGCTCTGAAATAGGTGCTCCCAGGTGGCTGTTATAACTCATTTCAACCTGGCCGAACAGGCATGAATAAGCCTCTTTATTGTTGGTTTTATCTTTCCTTCAGTGCTTGGGAATACAGAATGATCTCTAAAAGTTTACGCTTTATTAACTTCATGAGCCACCAGAAAAATTCCTTCAGTATCATCAGGATAATTCAGCAGAGGTACCTTCAGTGTCCTGATATGATTCTCAGCCTCACTCTTTTCTTTCTTAAAGTGCTTCATAAGCTCCTGGATATTCTGTTCATGTTTTGTTTTCACACTCTGCAATGATGATGTGAGATCTTTCAGCTCCCTCTGGTGCACATCTCGTTCCAGCTTTAACTGTGTGATGACTGTAGCTGTTTCTTCATCCCTGGATTTTGCCTGTGCAGTGAGGTCAGAAAGGTCCTTAAGCACTGCTTTCTTGGCTCTTTCTTCCTCGGCCAATTTATTAGCAAGATCTGCTCGGATGGCACTCAGGTCCTTGATGGACTCTTGCATCTCAAGAAGTTTAGCTTTGTCCTGGGCCTGGCTCTTCTTGAGCTCTGCAATTTCTTCCTCCAAGTGAGCTTTCTCAACTTTCATTTGGCTTTGGATCTTACTCTGCTTTTTCAATTCGCTTTCCAGTCTATGGATGGTATCCAGGGAATTCTTAACTTCCAATTCAAGGTCAGCTTGATGAGATTTAATATCACGTAGTTTCTCCTCCTTGGAGTGAAGCTCCTCCTCCTGAAGGGCACGCTTTGTTAGGACATCATTCAATTCCTTTCGAAGATTCTCTATTTGTTGTAATGCTGCATACATCTGGGTTTTCAATTCATCCTTTTCTTTTAAAATCTATCAGGTTAAGAATATGAAGCAAAAGAAAAAAATAAAAGTTACTGTAAAATTCACCATAGACTGTGCAAAATAAAGTTTTAGTCAGCAAAATAAAGTTTAACCCACAAGGAGAAACAAAATTCATCAAATAATTTTTGTATTTTTTCCATTTTGTAATAAAAATACTTTTAGGCTACAAAGCAGAGGGGCAAGGGGCAATATATAATTGTCCTGAAATAGCAACACACTGAGATATATATTTCAAATTTTCATCACCAAAACTTATTTCAATCCATGGTTACAAATAATTATTTAAATGTTAGATAGAATTGAGCAAGCAAATGGGGAAAGCAAAGACTCCCATTAAAAAGAAAACTTACTAGAGGTTGAAATAATACAGTATTACCTAAAATAATAATGATGTGCATTCCAATGATACACTTTTAAAAAGGAGAAATCCCAAAACAGAGATGGAAAATAATATAGGGAAGCATGCAGATACAATATAAGAAAGTTTACGGTACATTCAGCCATTATTTTCAAAATATCAATGGTGACAAAAAGTCACCAATAATGCAACTGGGAGCCTTGAAGCCCACAAAGATAGAAATGAGATTAAGTCAGGGAAGGTGGGGAAAGGGCTCAAGTGAAAAGTCAAGGGCCTAGAAGTCCATCATTCTATGCCAGCCTCTCTACGATTTACAATGAGGGACAGAGGCCAAGGGTTAACTCTTCTGGCCTCTAATTTTCACCACCTAATCATTGCAAATAAAACAGTGGGCAGCCAAGGGAGCCAAGATTGTTTTCTATACAACACTGGCACCAAAGATAATCTCCGTGTCTACTTACTGATGCCCACACCATGTCTTGAAACAGGTGGGGGGAAAAAGGAACCAATTAAGACTCATTTCAGAATTACAAATAATGAGTTAAAATGCAAATATTTGCAAGACATTTCTACACTTCACATTCTATACTGCAGTGTAAAACAATTTATGATAAAAATTTAATGAGTCAATCACTCCAAAAAAAAGTTTCCCCAATCCCTCTGAGTTTTAACTGAAAGAAAGAAAGAGCACAAAGATAACATGAGAACTAATAAAAGGAGGTGAATAAGCAGTTGAGCTCTGACCAGAAAGAAGCGAATTTGATTCTCAGTTCAATCATGGGCAATTCTATGGCCTCAGAGAAATCATTTCTCTTACTAGAGAAAAGAATAATAGCTATTTCATAAGACTGTGATGAAGATTAGTGAGAAAGGGGAAACAAAAAGTTGGAGTAGAATTTAAGTTCAAGGAGGTACTAGGGTCTCGGGGAGGTGTTTATGCAAGGTAGTGATCAAAACTGTAAAAAGAGCCAGGCCCAGTGGCACACACCTATAATCCCAGCTATTTGGAAGGCTGAGGTGGGAAGATAGCTACGGCTCAGGAGTTCAAAACCAGCCTGGGCAACATAGCAAGACCCCATCTCTACTGTGAAAAGACAGGATAACTGAAGGGAAGGAACTCTGAAACACAGATGAAGGAGTTCAATTTCAAAAGAATGTAAGGTAGGAGAAATATAGATGAGCCTAAGGGTAGATGTATTATTTTTCTACTGTTTCATAACAATTTCGAACAGACTTAGTAGCTTAAAACAATACACATTTTTTATCTCACTGCTTCCAATAGGTCAAACAGCCAAGCAAGGTATTCAGTTTAAGGCCTCCTAAGACTAAAATCAAGGTATCAGCTGGCCAGGGCTCTATTCTGGAGACTCTGAGGAGAATCCATGTCCAAGTTTATTCAGGTTTCTGATACAACTTGTTTCCATACAGTTGTAGGACTTTGGGTACCCATTTCCTTGCTAGCTTTTGGCCAGCGATTATTCTGAACTTCTAGAAGCCAACCTTGTTCCTTGGCTTATGGACTCTGCTATCTTCAAAGCTTGAACAGCTTGATGAATCCTTCCCAAGCTTCAACTCTCTCCGAAGTCCCCTTCTCCCAATAGCCAGAAAGAAAACTTCTATTGAGGGCTCATGTGATTAGATTAGGCCCATCCAGATAATGTGATCACAGGAGTCATGTCTTATCATATTCATGGATTCCAGAAATTAGAGTAACTTCTTTGGGGAGGGTCATTCTACTTACCAAACTAGAGAGCACAAAAACTGATAGAATCAAGTTTGGGCTGTAAAGATGGCGTGGGAGGGACTGAGCAAGGGTAGGGGCCTTCAGTATAGTGATATCCATTTGAAGCAGATAACTTAGCCCCCTTGGCATGAGTTGAGAGACTTATAGGCAGTGCTGAGGATTAAAATCATATTTTCATAATGAAGTCATACCATGTAAAGTGTCTTTAATTATGAAATATTATATCTTCCTGAAATTGGATTAAAAAGCAAAGGTATTTCTTTTTCTCACATAACAAGAAGTCCAGAGATAGGGTCGTTCAAGAAGAATCCCTCAAAGCTCAGGCTCTGCTACTCTGTAACTCTCATCTTTTGCTGTCTTTGCAGTGTTCCAAGCATCACATCAATTCCTGACAAAGGTGACAGCCACAGGGCAGACCGTCACTGACCTTGTGGATCAAGTTTAGAATATCTTTGGCAATACAGATACTAAAAACTAAGCTCTGTCAATTTGCTTCTGGTTAATTGCTTGCCTAGTAGCCACAGCTTAAGATTTTGTCTAGACGTTTCTTTGAGTCTGAAAATGTCTTATGTCTTTACTGCCATCTCAATACCCTGGACATACCCAGGGCCCTCAATTGAGTAGCCTTTATCTTGAGGAAGATCAGAACAGTGGAACTGGGTCCCCTTTGGCCAGGAATGCTTAAGTACTTGAAAGGATCCTGAGAAAAAGGCTTGATTTTTAACTCTTTTTTTTTTCTTGCTGTTTCCTGCTTCCCTCTTATGCTTGCACCAATTTCAGTTTGGATAAATAATTTGGCTTTTCCAAGCCTAAAGGATTCCAAATTATCAGACTCATAGTCAATATGGATTATAGATTGCAGACTGCAGGCTCCTCATCTTAAAAAAGGAAACAAACAAACAAACAGAAACGAGCAAAACTCTGCTTTTAGACAGACAAGTTTCAACCTAAACTTGTCTTTCTCTTGTAATACCTTACTGAAGGCTGAAATATGCACACAACATACTCCAACATCCTAAAGTGTTCCTACCAGTCACTTAATACTATCCTCTTATTCACAGCATCAATGCCCCTAAATATGATTTCTCTTTAAACCAGTTGCTTCCAACCACATAGCAAAGTTTACCAACTTTCCCTTTAGAACAATATGATCCTCTCTTGCCCCTTACTCTATTTCTCCTCTCAGCCAATCCTACAATTTAGGTTATTTTGCTTATAGCTCCTTATTGCTAGAACTCAAAGTTTACATAAACGTGAATTTCTTCTGCTGAGGGTAAGAGAAAATCCCAATCCGAACTGGTTTAAACCACAAGAAAATCATTCCAGGCAAAACCGCTCCAGAGACAGTATGTCAAAGCTCTGGCTCCACCTCTCTGCAATTCTGTACCTAGTGATGGTCCTGCATTAATTATGAAGTCCAATGTGACAGGAAGAAAACTGAATCCAGAAACTGGCTAGTAAACCAGAGGAATACAGAAAGATCAAAATTGGGTATTAATAGTTTAAAAAGCTAGGTGGTAGGGAAGAGAAGAATTCTGAAAGATCAGACACTGAGCTTTGGAACGGAAGGCTTGAACATGGAACAATTACAGATGAAGATAAAATTTAAACACAGAAATTCGACACTGAAGTAGAATTATTTCAGTGAAGGTCACTATAAAATAAGACATTCGTGAATTAGAAGGATACAGACTTCAGTAGGTTGAGGACTTGAACTCTGAAGTTACTAAGGATGATGGCAAGAATTACATGGCATAAAACAGGCTGATGCAAAGCCAAGCTAAAATCCTTGAGAAATGTAGGTGCATAAATGATAAATAGCCAGCAGTCAAGAGCAAAAATGGGAAAAGAATGTTCTAACCAGGCAGTCCAAGCTTCCAAAGAAGGGGCAAAAGAAAAGATTATTGAAAAAAGGCCTTAAAATAGTTGTGTGAAGCCAAAAGAATAATACTATCTAAAACCATGGCGATTATAGAAACAGAAGCCAAGTCCTCAAAGACCTGAACACAAAGTATTATATATATAGTTTGGTTTTGTTTTTTGTTTTGTTTTTTTTTTTAATTAACTAAAAGGTAGATGAGGGGATTACTCAATATTTTTGTTTTGTTTTGTTTTGTTTACCTGCATGTGAGAGAAAATGCAGGCAGATGGCTGGATTATACTAATACATACTCTAGCATTTCTTGAACTGTATGTGATAGGACTGTATATGCATTCAAAAAATCGTACACTTTGGCACTGATCCTTCTTACTTTCAACCATTCAAAAATTCAGATTTTACAAGATAGCATATATTACATATAACTCTTTTTTTGCCAGCAGGAGGGAAATATGCAGAAGGAATATATGGTAATTTAAGCTTCTTGAAGTCAAACACTATCAAGCAAAAAGCTCAATACATAAGCAAGCCAATTATTCTGCCAATTCAGCAGGGGGAAAAAAAAACCCTGGAAAGTATTCCCATTATCCATATTAAAAAAGAATATGAAAAAAATTGGAAACATTCAGAAAAGCATATACTATGATCAGAGTCCAATCTTTTCCTTTATCGTTTTCAAAGCACCCATACAAACCAATGATTTCAAACAGTACCTTAAAAGAAAAAGAGAAGCAAAAATACCACAACTTACAGCTAGATTATTTGTATCTATTAAGTTTTCGGTCTCCTAATATGTGTTACCTACATATCCCTGAAGTACACCACAATTCCCTGATGTAAACATCCATTTCATTGTCTTTGAGGAAAGTACACAGTTCGATCTGTCTGGGTTTTTTTTTTTTTTTTCTGCAGTGATATGCGATTTGATATTACACATCATTCAGTCATGAAGTAGTTTTGTAATATGATATCTTATAATCTTACTAAGATTCCAGAAATGTAAAAAGCAGGAAAAAAGAAATAAATCAGAGAAGTTTTTAAGAGAAAAAAAGCCTTTTGTCATTTAGTATATTTTTTAAGTAACAAATCTTAAAGCAGAAAATAAATTATGCTAGAAAAAGAGAACTGGCGGTAGACACAGAACCATACTGCAAATATGAGGAGAGCATCATATGAGCATATAAAATGACTCAGTAAGGGTACTTATTAAGTAATTTATTCTTTAAGCCACCATATATTTGTAAATCAGTATAATTTTTATTTTAATACACCCTTCCAAAATACCTTGGAGTAAGTTTTTGAAAATAATTAGCCCTAAAAATCAAAAAGAAAGTAGCCGTATTACAAATGTGTTAAGGTGGCTTTGTGATTTTATTAAGAATTAAATATCCCTTTGAAATAATATTCAGTAATATATTTTTTAAAAATTTTTCCAAAATTATTTACCACGTATTTCCACATCACAGATTTACTGAGCACATTTCTTACTCTTTTTCCTTGAAAAACCATTGCTCTAACTGCAACACGCTGCATTAATTTTTAAGGCTTTTAAAGGAGAAATTACAATGCCTGCTGTGATAATTGTGTTACGAACTTAACTGTGGCAATCACTTTAAAACTGCTTCTTTGCTTATCATTAGTAATGCTAAGTGATAAAAATAATTGGAAGTATTCTGGGAAATGATTGTTAAACAATTTTTAATATTCTGAAAACTCAACATAGAAAAGTCTCAGCACCATGGACTGGAATACTGTATGATGACATGGACCCTTCTAAATCTCTTCTAATTAAGTAAAATCTCCAGATGAGATTTTCAATCAGTCAATTCCCTCAACCACTCCTCTTGCTAGCTACCTACCTACCTTACAGTCAGGCTCACTGAGCCAGTTGCCAGATCAGGCTGACAACAGAATAATCAAGATAGAGCAATTTCCTGGGATCAGATCAGTTCAGGCACAAGTCTGAAAGGTTTAGAACTGCTTTACTTCAGGGCAACCAGCCACCCAGTATGTGTCAGATGGGTTAAAATGAAAAGCAATCTGCAGTGAGTGCAAAATGATCATTTTTTTCATCTTCTATATGTCCGAGAAATTCATATGTAAAAGATAAAGTATCTTTTCCATGACAGCTCATCTGAAATAAGCATCTGTCACTCTTAAAAGCTGAAAATTGATTTTATAAATATAATGCCCTACATTTTGTTTTCTTTTCAAAGAAAGTCAACTTATCCAAATGATTATTCTTTTGGAATGTACAGAGTTCTTGACAAGTGACAAATGACAAAGCACAAATGATAAACCAAGAATAAACATGGATAAAAATCAATCATGACTTTCCTGCTTATTATCTTATAAACATCTGGGTTTAATTCAACCCAAAGATATATCAGATGAGAATCAACATAGGAGCATAAAATCCATTTAAAGTAACCGATTATACAAGAGAAAAGTTAATGTGAAATGCATACATAGATGAGTGAAACGCGTTTTGTTGCTATCAAAAGGGCATAAAAGCAAAGTCTTGAAGAGAATTGTGATCCCATAACACTGCTCAGTCAGTGAGATCCTCAGCGTACGCATTTAAGTAAGCCCATTACAGTTGCTGCCAGTAAATGGCCCTAGTAACTACTGCATTTTTTAAATGCTTCTTTCTAACCAATACCTAGTTGAAATATATAAATAAATGAGATTTTAAAATACATGCATTGGGAGGAAAGTTGTGTGAAAATAAGGAAGATTTAATAATTTTCTTCCATTGGAATATTAGGAGATTAAAGAATAATTCAATTTAGGAAACTTACACCTAAACTGGGGCAAGGGGTACATCTATTGATGGGCCAACTCTGAAAAGCCACATAATATTAAACTATGAAAAGGCTTAAGTAAAAAATATTTAAAAATTAACTTTTATACTTTGAAACAGTCAACCATAAGGATTCTTCTATCAAGGGCATATTGATTATATGCACAGTATGGCACTCAAGTGTTTTTTCAAAGGACAGATGAATGAATGGATGGGTCACATTGAAAACCATTCCTTAGGAATGTGGCTTTTATACCTGATTATTCTTGCCTGTCAGTTCATCAACTGTTTCAGATTGTTTCTCCAACGCTCGCTCTAACTTCTTATGTTTAAGCTTCCACTGCCTAATGGATTCTTGAGCTTTCAGTTTCAGGTCTTCCCTCCTCTTCTCCGCCTCCTCTTTCAGGGCCTCTGACTGCTGGAGCTCACTGAGGTACTGCTCAGCCTGCTTGGTTGCATCCTCTGCATGGCGAGTCAGCTCTGAGATTTGAAGGTCAGCATGCTTACGCTCAGCCTCACATGTGTCAAAGTGATTCTGGATCTCCTTAAGTCGATCCAACATCTGGAGTTGCTGTTTTTCCCCATTCTCCAGTTCACGTGTTAAAATCTAAGAATAAAGCATGTGAAACATTAGGAACAAATGCTTGTCAAAATTAGATGTGTAGCATATCATCAAACAAGAATCTCTAATGTCACTGAAATGGAAATCATCTGTATTAAAATTCATTAGCAATCAATTTAGAAAATATGAGTCATTTTCTTTGTATTTTATAACCACATTAGTTGGGAACAATTTTTTATATAAATATTCCCTCTTTTTTGGACTATTTTATTGTCCAAAAAAGGAAAATACGGGTTTCCAATTGACTGTCACTAAAATAGAAGGCACTTTTGAAGAAAACAATGTGCATTATTTTAGTAACAACCTAGTGTTCTGTCCAACTGAAGAAATATTAATGTTTTAAAATTTGTCAGGTTATCAGAGAACTATTAGTAGCAATCATATATAACATTTTGCTTTCTGGCAGCAAAACAAAATTATAATAAAAAAAATAAGTAACAATAAAGTGACAGAAACATCAGCATAGATAACACTATATTAGGTTCCCAATAAAGTGCTTATACATTGATTATTTCCAGATAAACCAACATAATATTATATGTTGAAGCACTTATCCCAAGCTGATATGAATCACTACAGTACACATTTATAAATACATTTAATTTAACTTTATTTTGAATATTTCTCTAATCAAGAAAAAAAAACCTTAAGTCTAGCTTCCCTAAAGCCAGGATGGTGATTATATATTTGGAAATTACACTAAATCATCATGATTAATACATATTTTAAGAATAAGTAAATATTTTAAGTTTAAAAATGAGAAGATATTGTTTTAAGTAAGTTTATACAAATAAAATAATCATTAACATTAAGCCGTTAAAGAATCATTAACATTAAGCCACTTTTGTAAAGCTTTGTAAGAAAGTGATAAATTCAGAAATAAAGCGCTTACAATGGGTCACATAAGCTGCCCCTCCTGAGCCTTACTTTCCAAATACTTAGTGGCAACAATGGTAACATAAAAATGTCATGTGCCCAAATAAGAATGGGTTCAAGGGGCTAGAATGAGGCTGTGAGTTGGATAAACAATAAATAACATCTCCACCGAACTAAGGCCCAGACAAATGAAACTAGAAACATTTACCAAGCTCCTTTGGCCCCATCAGCAGAGTTTCCAGGTCCAGATTCCATGATCTATGGCTCAAATAAGGTTAAATATAATCTCCCTCATGATTAAAATCATAGTCTGACATTACGGCAAACATTTTTTTAAATGCCTCAAAAACAAACTTCATTTTCTAGGCAACAGGTTTGCATTTGTCCAGTTTGCTAAATTCAAGGCAGCCTGGAAGACACTGCATCCACCCAAATGGGAAATTGAGAACTGTGTACTTGTGTGTGTAGAAAATTCTACAATAAGATCAGAAAAACCCATGTAATTGTGGTTTACCTTTTGCTCTTATTCTAAAAGTATTACCAATATGCTAGAAATCAACTTGATTAACAAGCAGCAATCAAGTGATTCCTCATCAAAAGAGAAATGGAACTTATTTTTCTTTTCAACAAATCCTTGGAAAGAAAGTGGTTACACTTCCTGTTCATCAGGCATATGGTTTATAGAAAATTAATAGGACACAGTCTTAATACCAGAGAAGCTAACTCTAATTAGGGAGGTATTTTCATCAACCACTATCGTAGATAGTCCTAGGTGCTAAAACATGATGGAGAGTTACCTAAAGGCGTCTATAGTCTACAGTGTGGCTGCAGACAGTCTCCTATAGGAGGTGATGCATAAGCTGAGATTTAAAAGAAAAGGAGCAATAATAATCAAATAACTATGACTGTGACTGAAATGCATTGAGTTCTCAAGTTATACCAAGATTTAATGCTTTATATGAATTACCTCATTCAATCCCAACACAAATCTAAAATGAGACACTATTATCCCCATTTCAGTGAAAAGTAACCAACATTTGCTGCAGTTAATAATTTGTTCAAGACCACATACCTAATAAGTGAGGGCATAGGGATTTGGACCTGGATAGTTTGCTTCTAGAACCCATGTTATCAACCTATTGCTAAACTTCCAGATTCTCAGATGACCCCAACTCCATGCCTCTTCAGTCACCCACTGCCACGGTTTTATCTTGGTGTTTTTATCAGAACTGCCACCTTTAAAGCAAGAGGTTCCTCACTCCATCCTCTTCCCATAACTCTTGGATTTAATTACCAATCTAATCAGCTATTACACCCTCTTCCTTCTGTGTTATCTGTGCTTCATTGTCAAGGAGATGACCACTCCCTTGAGATTTCTTTTGCTAGTTTTAAATCCTGGCTTTCTAACCCAAACACTATTATTTTTTCACTTTAGCCAATCTCTTGCTTACACCGAGCCTCCCTCTTTAAACTGTTCATTTACTGAACATTACCAACAAAACCACCAACTCTAGGTGAACTTAAAAAATTACTAATTCCTACGTTGGGTTGAGTCCTGTAAGAAACATCACACAAGACTATCAGTTGATGTGACCACACACTGAGAGTCAACTCATTGGCACCCAGAAAGTCTTCCACATGCCTCAACCCAGCTCACACAAGGGCCATTATTACAAAAAGTCTCATCTCTGACCCTCCCATTTTTACCCTTGGTTTTGGTATGTACTATAGTTCCTCCTTCAAAAGTAAAATTGAGGCAGGCAGTTAATGCAGGATACCCCAAATATATCCTACTTGTATTTTAAAATTTACCAATGGTCAATTTCTTCTCTTTTCCAGCCTCCAAGGAAAGGGGATTCTTCCTTAGACAAATAGCCTATCTCTGTGATTTTCCTACTTGACTATTCCACTTTACTTCTCTCATCTCAAAAACTAACAGTAAAGATTTTTAAAAATAAAAACAAAGAAAAACACCAGCAACAAAAGCACTTTTCTCAATCCTACATTATCTTCTACCAAGTACCATGTACTCATCTACCTCTTAAGCCAAGCTCCTGGAAAGAGTAGTTCATACTTGATGCTCCCACAACCATATTTCAGTTCTCTTGGTTCACTACGTCTGGTTTCCATCATACTATGAAAATAGCTCTCATCAAGATCCCCCAAGATCACCTACAGCCAAATACGAAAACTCTTTCAAAACCTTACTTTGGGAGGCCAAGGTGGGTGGATCACTTGAGCCCAGGAGTTCGAGACCAGCCTGGACAACACAGCAAAACCCCTGTCTCCTACTAAAAACACAAAAATTAGCTGGGTGTGGTGGCACATACCTGTAATCCCAGCTACTCAGGAGGCTGAGGCACAAGAACAGCTCGAAGCCAGGAGGTGGAGTTTGCAGTGAGCTGAGCTTCCGCCACTGCACTCCAGCCAAGGCCACAGAGCAAGATTCAGTCAAAACAAAACAAAATAAACAAAAATTTCCTTCACTTAGCTTCCTTGTAGCATGTGACACTGTTAATAACCCCTTGCTCATTCTAACTCTCTGCTTCCTTAACTTTCACAATACCACTTTTCACTAGCTCTCTATCTTCCTCTTCTTCTTTCATAATCTCCTTTCCTGAGTCTCTTCTACCATTTAGCCTCTTAAATCTAAATAACTCTATAAAGTTCCAATATTATGAATAATCTCACCTACACAATATCCTTGGTAGATGAGTTTTTAGGTAGACAGATATTAGTAGGTATTAGTGAGTCCTACATTCAGAAGCCATACTAACTCCTCATCTCCAGACTTTCAAATATCTAATGGCTTCATATCGGGGGAACCCCAACCCCGATATTCAGCATGGGTTCTTTTCTATTTCCCTAAGTGTTGGCTGGTCTGAGAAATAAAGGGAAAGAGTACAAGAGAGAGAAATTTTAAAGCTGGGTGTCCGGAGGAGACATCACATGTTGGCAGGTTCCATGGTGCTCTCTGAGCCGTAAAACCAGCAAGTTTTTATTAGCAGTTTTCAAAGGGGAGGGAGTGCACGAATAGGATGTGGGTCACAGAGATCACATGCTTCTCAAGGTAATAAAATATCACAAAGCAAATGGAGGCAGGGCAAGATCACAGGACCACAGGATGGGGTGAAATTAAAATTGCTAATGAAGTTTCAGGCACGCATTGTCATTAATAACATCTTATCAGGAGATAGGGTTTGAAAGCAGACAACCGGTCTGACCAAAATTTCTTAGGCAGGTATTTCCCCGTCCTAATAACCCTGGGAGTGCTATAGGAGACCGGGACTTATTTAATCCCTTTCTCTTCATCTTCAACCATAAAAGATAGCTGCCCCCAAAGTGGCCACTTCAGAGGCCTACCCTCAGGGGCGCATTCTCTTTCTCAGGGATGTTCCTTGCTGAGAAAAAGAATTCAGCGATATTTCTCCTATTTGCTTTTGAAAGAAGAGAAATACGGCTCTGTTCCACCCGTCTCACTGGCAGTCAGAGTTTAAGGTAACCTCCCTTGTTTCCGGAACATTGCTGTTATCCTGTTCTTTTTCCAAGGTGCCCAGATTTCACATTGTTCAAGCACACATGCTCTAAAAACAATTTGTGCAGTTAACACAATCATCACAGGGTCCTGAGGTGACATACATCCTCCTCACAAAGATGACGGGATTCAGAGATTAAAGTAAAGACAGGCATAGGAAATCACGGGAGTATCAATTGGGGAAGTGATAAATGTTCATGAAATCTTCACAATTTTTGTTCTTCTGCCATGGTGTCAGTGAGTCCCTCCGTTTGGTGTCCCTGACTTCCTGCAACAGCTTCATAACTTTCTACACTTAGAAATCTCACAGGTGTCTTACATTTAGTAAGTCAAGAAGTAAACTTATCTGAGGACCAACTCCTAACAAAAAGGCAGTCCTTCTAAAATGGCAGGAAAGTAGCTCTCTGATGAGGGAGGACGGAAATGAGTTAAATTGTGTATTTTAATAGTGAGAAGATCTGAAAAAATCACTGTAGGGAAAGAGGAAATGAACAACTGATAGATGTTTAAAAGATGACAAACAGAAATAAGGTTCTAGTTAGATAGTCTCAAATTGATAATGGACCCAAGAGTA